GCTCCAGTGGCGTCGGCCGCCGTCCGGCGCCTGCTGACCGTCCCGTTTCCCCGTTCTGGGCCCCGCGCCCGCCCAGAACCCCCCTGGGCCTCCCCGCCCAGGGCCTCGACTAGTGGCGCAGGCCAGGGGCTCCGGGGTCAGTCGCGACCCGGCGAGGCTGGCAGGGAGGGCGGCCGCCGCCGGCAAGGCTGCGCGGTGCTCTCTCCTCAACGATCCGTGGGCGGGCAACCGCCTCTGCGGGGAGCCGGCGCGTGCGGGCCCGCTGCCCGGGTCCGAATTTCCCCGCAGCCGTGCGCGGCCGAGGCTCCCCTAGGAGGGGCGAGCTGCCCGCCGCCTGGCCGTGGGGGGGAGGCCGAGCCCCGGAAGCCTGGCCGAGGTGGCGGGTGCGGGACCCGGACCAGCGTTGCGGAGGCTTCCCCTTGGCGCCCGCCCTTGGACGCGGGACAGGCCGCTCTGCGCCGGGCAGAGGGGCTCCTAAGGGGCCAGGCCCGGAGCCCAGAGGCTCAGGCGAGGCCCTGGGCCGCCTCCCGCCAGTGAACGCAGTGGGTCAGCGTCAGGTTTTCATCTTTAATTCAATCACAGCAATCGGGGAGCGGGAAGGGCGGTCGGGCAGGTATTTACATCTGAAAGTCACATTACTCGTAGCTTCAGAACATGCGACCACAATATATACAGTAAAGTACCTCTTGGGACACCAGTACACATTTTTTTCTTTTAACTTTGCTCTCTGGTACAGATAAGGTAATTTTTAAGTCACCCCCCCCCCCCTTTAAACATAAATACACAAAAGAAATGGTGAGAAGTGTTCTAATTTAAATAAGCACAGAATGCCAGAGGTTAAAAACACATTTATAGGGCTGAACACCAATTGGACATCACGCTCTATACATTTTTTGCTCAAATTCCTGTACAAATACACAGCATTCAAATAGGTATTTACAAATAAGCTCAAAAGAATGAAAATCAGTATTTCACAATCTTCAGAGGATTCTCACCTCTGACCTCCCACTTCCCCTCAGACTGGCTGGTTCTCCAAAAGGGATTTGGAATCTGAGTGGAGAGCAGACCCCCCTGGCTCACCTCGGGCCACCTGGTGGAGAAGGGAGATGGTGGTGGTGAGGCCTTGTCCAAGACCCGACACCCTCCTGCCTAAGAATCATACAAAGCTGGGGCCCAACCCTCACACTGAACACCAGGCACCAGGCCCGGGGCTGCCCTCCTGAGGCCTGCGGCCTGCGTGCCAGCCGCTCTGCGGGAGCACCCTCCCAGCACCACCCATAGGCCCTGAACGCTGCCCTGTCTTTCCTGAAAGGTTACTTGCTGGCATTCCTGTTAAACAGCTGGTGTTTGTTTACAAGAGAAAAACACCCTGACCATGGCCTGTCTGTTCGGAAAGAGGGGCAATGACGGAGGGTCGTGGGCCCAGGGCCCAGCCGGAGGTCAGACGGCCAGCAGAAGAGTGACAGGGAGACACCTGCTCAGCGAGGAGAAGGCAGCCTGTGACCATCAGAGTTGTGAACTCGAGCAAAAGAAAGAGTCTGTGTCGACTGAAGTAACTTGGAAGCACCCTGGTGAAGACCATGACTCCCCCTTCTGTCCCCCCCTATAAAGCAAGAGGAAAACCGGTGCTCTGACCCCAGAGTCCCATGGATCCCGCTGCACTCTGTCCAGCAGACAGGAGGCTGGAGACGCTGCCTCCTGCCCGCCCTGAACCCTGAGTGGTGGTCCCCACCGCCCGGAGCAGGGCCCTGCACTTGGCACTTGGAAGAGGATAATTCAACTTACGTGGCTCCCTGACTCCAAAAGGAGACGCCCCTCCTCACCCTGCTCCCCCAGGAGCTCGCTGACCTGACCGAGAGTCCTCAGGGCTTGGCAGCCTGGCTGGGCAGCCAGCCCCCTGCTCAGAGGTAGTGCTGAAAATCCCTGACTCAGGAGCTGCCTGTCAGGCGGTCTGGCCACCTTGGAGAGCTCAGGATTTCCGGCCCCTCACCTCGGCCTCACTCCTATACCAGCTCCTCTCTCAACACGTGGCCCCCCGGGCCTTGGGGAGGAAGGTGGCCAGTCCCTTTGGTTCCACACCCCCACTCAGGCCCCGGAGGGCGGAGCTAACCTTTGCAGATCCATTCGCCAAGGGGGCTCCTGCAGGGCATGAGGTGTATTGAGAGTGGAAGGGAGCAAGTGGTCAGAAATAAAAGCGATGGAGGGGACTATCCGAGACAGCTGGAGGCAGGCCTGGCCGGTGGAAGCCTGGCAGTGTGCCCTGGGCATGCAGTCAGGCCAGGTCACGTGCCTGGGCTGGCAGGTTGGCCCAACCAGCCCCTCAGTTGAGTATTCCTGGACAAGAGTGGGCAGGTGGGCAGGCATTTGTGCAAAATGGCTTGTAGCCACTTGTTCACCACCTGTGACATGTAGTCCACGTGGTCCGCGCAATCCCTGAATACAACCATGAGCTCTTCTGTCCACACAGCAAAAGAAGAGGTCCTAGTGCAATTTCCGTTCTTCTGTGCATCTCTACCCTGGAGGGGGCCTGGGCTCCTACCCAAGGCCCTGCGAAGCTGCGAAGCGATTCTGTCTGTGCAATACCTCCACAGAGCTCCCCGTGGCCTGGAACTGCAGGAGGAAGAAAGCATCTACTGCGCACAGATGAAAGGGAAACCCAGAGAAATGGAAACGTAGAAATGAAATAAAAAGAGAAGCCACAACCCTCATGCTGCTGTGGCCTCTGCACATGGCAACACACAAGTTCACGGCAGTAGAACGTCGACTTGGTGGTTCTCTCCTGAGTGCCAGGCCTCTCTGCTCCTCGGGGGACTGGCTTTTCAGACCTGGAATGGTCGGGCGAGCTGCTCTGAGGGCGGCGTCCCAGCCGCCTGCCGGCCTCACTGCTCCCCGCGGCCATGCTCCCAGGCCAGGCGGGCCTGCTCCTCTTTGATGCTCCCAGGAGGCAGTGAGGCCTTGCGGTGCAGGCCCCGAGGCCTATCGGCCTCTTCGCGCAGCAGCACACCTTCGTCATGCTCCAGGGCCGGCAGGCGGGGGTGGTAGGGCTTGGGAGGCAGCGCAGGCGGGTCCATGGGGTCCTGAGGGATGACACATCCCGGGGCTGAGTGGCTTCGGCATGGCTGGGCCTTGATGGAGTCCAGGACGGCCGACTCAGAGAGGCTGTAGTGAACAGGGAGGTAGGGCGGCTCAAGGTCTTCATCGGCATGCCAGGCCTGGCTGGGCATGGAGTCCATGGTGTCGGTTCGAGGCGGGGCCTCTGAGGGGTGCCCAAAGTTACTCTCGCTCAAGGAGGACACGCCACTGCTGGCGCTGCCGGACAGTGTAGAGTTGCTGCCGTCCAGGCCCGACTGGGGGCTGGTGGGGGAGGCTGGGATAGGGTGGAGAGGAGACTGCAAAAGAAAGGGTGGACATGTTAGAATTCCTCTCTCCAGACAGGCCGACAGCCACGGTGCGGAGAAGACCAAGTCTGCTTATTAACGAACTTCAACAGGACCTCCAGCAGCAGCCCCTGCTCCCTCCGGCCCCAGAGCCCCGGGGAGCCCCAGAATCACCTGCATTTCTGTGGCCAAAACACAGCTCTGCCCTGGCTGCTGGGCATTTGTGCCCCCCAAAGCCAGGTGCTGGGCTGCTGGCTGTGGCTCTCGGGCACTTGCGAAGGGCTAGGCCAGGCCGGCTGGGCAGGCAGAAAGAAACCTAGTTGGCCACGGACCAGATGAGTGCATTCTGCTGCTAAAATCTGTGATAGTCTTTTCCAATTCGCAGAAAAATTAGTGAGTTTTTAATAAAGCTTTGGTGCCTGGTGTGTCTTGCTTTGACTGGACTCTGGTTTAAAATGCTCTGCCGTCCACCACAGGCTGTTTCTTTACCTCTTGAACTGTTCGCTGACACCTGGTGGTTAGCAGAGTTGCCCACAGGCCCTCTAACCCTCTACCCCATCACAGTGGCTGCGGACACACTGGTCACCTGCATCCCGAGTGTGGCTCTGGCCCCTGCGGCTCCGCCAGGCTGGGCTCTCCAGGACGGGTAGGGAGAGCCGGGAGCTTGGGAGACCCAGGGGGTAGAGCAGATGAGCTGACACCTACAGCCGGGTGGGCTGTGCCTTCAGTACATTACCTTGCGCAGGGTCCGGGCAGGGAGGGCCGGGGGGGTGTCACCCAGGGGGTGGTGGAAGGTGTCAAAGTGTAGGGAGTAATGACCTGCAAAGGGAACAGAACCACAGCCTTAGCTGGGGCCTCTCTGGGCTGCACACCAGCACATCTTACTGGGCCAACTGGGCAGACGAGGGAAGAGTATCCTGGGAACCCCTCAGCACTGAAGGCCACAGAAAAACCTCTCATTGAAGTTCTCCAAAACACAGGCTGCTGGAGTAAAAGACACGCGTGCTACATGGGAGGTCAAGAAGCCCGCTGTGTCAGCGTGGAACAGCCGCAGGCAGCGCAGCCTCCGCCCACTGCTGGGTGATGACGGTCGCAGTCCTGGTCTTCAGCCGGCTGGGCTGGAAGCCTCACCGACCCCAAGCCCAGCAGGGCCCTTCCTGGGGCGGGGCTGGTTCTTCCTCCGCTGAGTCAGCCCAGAGCATGGCCTGTCTTCTCAGCCTGGGAGGCTGCTGCCTTTGCCCCTGAGCAGAGCTGGCGACCAGGGACTATCTGGGGACCCGCTGGAGGTCTTCTTACCATGCAGCAGGCTTCGGGGAGGCACTGGGGGCGCGAGGATGCGCCCCATGTGGGCAGACAGGAAGGGCTGGGCCTCTCGGACTCCGCTATCCAGGCTCCAGCTGCTGGGGGCTGCGGGCACCGCTGAAGGTGGAAACACACGGCATGAAGGGAAGTTACTTCTTGAGCCGCTCCGTGGGAGAAGCCCACCCTGCAGTGTGTGGCTTCTCCAGGTGGCACTGTGTACCCAGCACAGGTGGGAGGGGCATGCCAGCCCCTGGGGCAAAAACACTGGCCAAGTAAGACACTGGCCCTTAGGTGGGAGTGGCCAGGAACAGGAACCGCAAAGATGGCAACAGAGCAACCTGGAGTGTGAGGAGCATCAGGACGAGGCAGCTGAGAGCAGGTGCCACGCAGCGGGTGCCTGTGGCCTGCGGTTCGCCAGGAGGAGGAGAGAACAGAAGAGGCGAGAAGAGGCCGAGGAGGGGCTGACGGGGCTGAGAGGAGAGCGCTCCAGCCAGAGCTGCTCAGTCAGGAGTCCCGGGAAAGCAGGGAGCAGGATGGGCCTGTGGTAACATACAAGCTCTGCCCTTCCCATGGCTCCTGTGCCCCCCGTGGGGTCTGGGATGCACGAGGTGTTTTCTAGGCAAGGACCAGCGTTCACTGTCCCCAGGGAGGGAGAGTATAAAGCCTGTGTCACGCCCAGGTGTGCCCATGGTGCTTTGGGGCATGCAGAGCAGCCCAGTTCTGCACCCACATGCCACAGATGCAGGTGGAGTGGGCCTGGGACAGAGGAAAACATAAGAAAGTGGACAGTGTCCACCTAAGAAAGGGGTCAGGGCCAGTCTCCTGGCCCCTCGGCCACAGCTGGGGGAGTGACTTCCCGGAGAGGACGGCAGAGGAGGAATGGCTGGACCTGGGGGCCCGAGGGCCACTGCAGGAGACATGGGAATCCTGTTGGCCAACTCCTCCTGAGAACAAATATGAGAATAAACCTGCCCTCTCGCTGACGGAGCTGGGCGAGCGGCAGGATGGGCGTGCACAGCCCAGGGCCTCCGTGTGGAAAGTGAGCCGAGGGGCCAGGGAGTGGGCTCTTCCTGCTCCAGGTGCTGATGGGGAAGCCAGGGCCCAAGGGGCCTGAAAGGCTCTGGAAGGGAAGGAGCTGGAGTCCAGCCTTCAAGGAGGCCTGGCCAGGAGGAGGGGCTGTGCCCCGTGTGGTCCAGGGGGAAGTGGGGATGCCCATCCTCTTCTCCTCATTGGTCAGGACCTGGCGTGGGCTTGCGGCAAAACACAGGGCGGAACTCCGCTACCTAAACAGCCTCAGTTCCAGGGAAGGTGCTCAGTGCCCGGGATGTTTGGTGGCTGGTGCCTGGCGGGAGGGCAGGCGCTCAGCTGTGGGAGGGGAGGAAAGAGTGTGGAATTGGCTGCGCATCAGGTGGATTCCACCAGGGGGCCTCAGAGAGCCCGAGCTGCTCACAGGCCCTGCTCACAGACTCTCCCCAAGACGCAGCGCCAGCTTCCTGGTCCTCAGCACCGAAGCGCTCTCTACCCCAGAAGAAAAGTTTGTCTCCACAAAAAGCTGCTGCATCTCAGGGAGTAAGTGGCTTGGACGTGGGTCTGGGCAACTTCTCCAAAGGGGTTCTGAAGCCCAAGATCTCACAGGCACATCGAGGCCCTGGGAGGGTCATGGGGTTGCAGTTCACCCACAGGGCCCACCTGCAGTCAGGAAGGCCATGGGGAGAAAGCAGCGCGGCTGCAGTGGTTTGGGGGGCCCTGGGCCCCTCCTCATGAAGCAGAGACCATCGAGCTGGCCCCGCAGCCTGTGCTGGTGAGCAGGGAGGCCAGGGCACCTCTGCCAGGCAGCACGCGGGCACTGGGGCTAGAGGAGAATCTAAGGTGGAGTGCCTCTTGGAAGAGGGGAGTCCCCCGCTGTCTCCGCCGCTTCTTTCTCTGCGTGTAACTGGGGTCCAGCACGGACCTGTAGTCCCCAGTGCACAGCGCACAGCCCCGAGGGCAAGCTTGCCTGGTCCGGGAGTCACTGCCTGGCAAAGACAACTGCCAGCGAGACGCGGAGCCCTCACGGGACTCAGGGTCCTGGTGACGCGAGAGTGGGACAAGCTTATGCAGCTCCTGCCCTGGAGGCCCAGGTGAAATTTGGGAAGTTGTCACTTTGGTCTGTGTGTTCCCTCAAGGCACTTGCTGGCCTTGTGGCGTGGACAAGCTTGCTCTGGGCTCAGCCTCTTTTCTGAGACCCCGCGTCCTTCCCACACCTGCGCAGTGTGGCCAGCTTCTTGCACAGCCTGCTCCAGGGCCTGGAGTTCTCCGGGATCCAGTTGGTGTCAGGTCCTTGTCTGGCCGCCAGCACACGCTTGATCTCCGAGCCTGTAGTGCTCTCGGCTAGCTCTGCGATGGCTCCACATCTCAAATGAAGAAAAGCCACTGAGGATTCTGGTGGAGGCCACACAGGCTCTGACGTGGGGCGCAGGGTCCAGGTAACTGCATGTTTGGGGATGTGCACGCTTGAGGCCAGAAGGCATCTGCAGGCAGTTTTTATGGCCGTTGTGGTGGAGCACCCAGCGGTCAACCGAGCTCGTGGGCCAGTGTTTGTTGTACTTGGAGGACACAGGCATGTCCCCTCTAGAGAGCTAGGGAGCAACAATGACAGTACGCACAGCAGACATCACTCGGCGAGGAGGGGAGGGGAACCTACAGGGAGGCGGGCTGCTGGGGCCCAGGTTGTGTGTGGAGAGCAGGCTTAGCGGAGTCCCCAGAGTCTTAGCAGGCTTAGCAGCAACCCCTGTGAGAACTAACTCAGGTCTCCACGGCTGGGGCTCTGGGCCAGGGTCATGTGGGCCCCAGCCTGATCCTTCCATCAGCTGGAGCAGAACACAGGGCAGAACTCCTCTCGCTAAGCAGCTCTGCTCTAGGGACTTCTGGCCGCATGCACATCTGGTGCGCTGGCACGTGTGAGACGGACTTAGCACTGTGGCCAGAGTGGCTGCCGGGACTGGACTCCCTCCTGGTACCTGGGCCTCCCTTGCCAGGACTTTGTCTGGGAAGTCCACTCTGCCTTGGCCTGTCCTCCCTATTCCCCTTGGGCTTGCTTGGCCGCAGGCCTGTTCAGAGCAACAAGGGGGGTCCCCCTGAGGGCCCACGCTGAGAGGGACCACAGGGGCCACAGGGCCTGCTGAGTTCTGGGCTGATCTGGAGGTGCCAGGGGAGTGGTGGCCGTGCTTGCACATGGCAGTTTCCATAGAGGTGGGCCCAGGGCAGGCGGCTGCGAGGGCCTCTCTGAGCTGGGCACTGGGGTGGGAGAGATACAAACTAACAGGATCCGAATTTTATTTATTTTTAATTTTTATTTTTTAGAATGTTTCTGATTCTCAAATTTTATTTTATTTTTTGTTTTTATTTTTTGTTAATCCTCACCTGAGGATATTTTTCCATTGATTTTTTTTTTAAAGGGAGAGTGGAAGAGAGAAGGAAAGACAGAGAGAAATATTGATGTGAGAGAAACACATCGATTGGTTGCCTCCGGCCAGGGCCAGGGCCATGGCCCGAGGAACCTGCAACCAAGATACGTGCCTTTGACTGGGATCGAACCCAGGACCCTTTGGTCTGCAGGATGACGCTCTACCCACTGAGGCAAACTGGCTGGGGCAGGATCTGAATTTTAGCATCAAGCAGCCTTGGTTGAACAGTGAGCACAGTAATTGGTTAGGACTCTGGACAGACAGACAGGCCTGGATGCTGGCCTGTGGCTCAGCCTCAGCCAGCTGGTGCTCAGGGTCAAGAGTCAGGTGCTCAGGATGGGGGCCCTTGGGGGGAGGGGGCACTGGGAAAGGGAGACAATACCTTTCTCAGCCACAGACAGATTGGGGTCACTGCAGGGTTTGCAGGCTCCGATCACTTGATGGAACAGGGCTGGCTGGAAATTTGGCAGCTGAGGGAGAGAAAAAACCATCAAAACGGTGAAAACGACCAGTTATACCCCGGGGGGCAGTGCTGTGGACCACAGGTGCCAGGACAGGGAAATCAAAGTGGAGGCACAGCTCACGCCTGAGGTGCCGGGAACCTGGGCACCCGGGCGGGCTGTCCGGTTGCGGCCTGAGCACTGCCCCGCGCAGCATCGAGGCACCACCCTCTCGTGTCTGGCTGGGCACCAGCTGCCCTGGGCATGGCCAAGGACACAGCACCGGAGGCTATCTAACTCTGTCCGCCTGTCCTGCAGGGAGGCGCACTGGCGGAAAGGATTCAGGGACCCTGGCACCCTGGGTGCTGGCCAGGACAGACAGCCACACCAGCAATGGCAGCGCCAGCCCTGCCGCCCGCCTGCCCGTGCTGCACTCTGTCTGGGTGGCTGGTCCTCAGAGTCCCTGCAGTCTCCACCCGGGAGCCCAGCAGCCTCCTGGGGTCTTACAGAGAAGGGGGTGCGGAGGACAGCGCAGGAAGCTAGCAAGGGTGCCGAGCCAAGCCCAGGCCGGCACACTGGCGGCGGAGGGCGGTCCGCAGCTGGGCTACTACCTGTCCATTCTCCAGGACGGCTGCTGGGTACATGGCGCTGCTCGGGCGGTCCCGGTGCGTGGGCAGCAGCAGCATCATTTCCCGGGCGTGGCGGTACTTATCTGGCAGAGAGGGAGAGCCTGTAACCAAGTGAGAACAATCACGCACAGATGACGAGTCACAGACGGAGCGCCTGCAGGCGAGCGCCTGGTGCCAGGGAACTGGAGGTGAGCCTTGCGGTGTGTGAGGAGCTCAGCAAGCAGCTGGGGTGCACGGAGGCGGGGGCACTGGGCGATGCAGCCCCCGACAGGCCCCCTCCCGAGGCCCAGGCAGGCTGTGAGGACAGCGAGTCTCTCTGGTGGAGGGGTGTGGCCTGGACGCTGGTGTTCAGGGGCCCAGCTTATAATGGAGCCGTCACACGGAGACAGACACACCGGACAACACAGCGGCACATTCGTATTGGATACACTGCACGCACTCACCTTCTCCAGACACCACGGGCCCTGCTCGCAGGCAGCCTCCTCCCACCTCTCCCCGATCCCAGGCCCAGCGCCTGGCCTCTGCCTGCCTGGCCATCCTGCTGCGGCCGGAAGCCAGGTGGCTCTGGGGTTTCTCACTCAGACCTGCACCTCCGTGGACTCGGGGCCGGGGGGGTCTGGAAGTTGTGGGGCTTTCCCCAGGCTCTTGGATTAACTGGACTCATGCTCCTCTCCTGCCACGCAGAGGTGGTGTGACCCAGGCCCCATCGATGCCCGGCACAGCTGGAGGCCCCGGCCCTGTGAGGCCCTGTCCTCGAGGGGACCGTCCACAGCAGCAGTGAGAGGAAGCGCGGGCTTCCCCCGGGAACGGGGAACTTGGAAGCCTTCCAACAGACCACGTTTGGTGGGTTGTTGTCACTGCTGCTTTCAGCGCCCACACTGAACTGTCACGCTGTCACGATGCTGTCAGGATGCACTGCTGCCCTAACTCTGATCCTTACTCTGTAACATTTCAGTGGGAAAGGACTGAGCTGCTCCTAGGCCAGTGATGGCGAACCTTTGAGCTCGGCGTGTCAGCATTTTGAAAAACCCTAACTTAACTCTGGTGCCGGGTCATATATAAAAATTTTTTGATATTTGCAACCATAGTAAAACAAAGATGTATATTTTTGATATTTATTTTATATATTTAAATGCCATTTAACAAAGAAAAATCAACCAAAAAAATGAGTTTGCGTGTCACCTTTGACACGCGTGTCATAGGTTCGCCATCACTGTCCTAGGCGGTGTCCTCCTGAGTGGAGAGGGGAGAGCTGGCTACGTGGGGGCAGCTCAGAGCGGGTCTGACGCCAGTTAGAGAGCGGTCTGGAGCTAGAGACCTGCGTCCTGAGCGCTGGGAGCACAGGTGCCCATGCTCTCAGAAGCCACAGGTGAGAGGACAGTGGGGTCACGAGGCCCTTCCCCTTCTGCAGGCGGCACCTGCCCCCCTTACCTCGGGCACTGGAGGGGGCAGAGGCAATCATCTGGGATGGTGCTGAGTGAGTGGAGCTCAGGCTGGAGGAGGAAGGGCTTGCCTGGGACGAGGACAGAACAGACACGTTGGTGACTGAGCCCTGGTACCTGGGGTTGGGAGACACGAGCTGCAAAGGGAAAAAATCAGCAGGATAGAGGTCCGAATGGCCAGGACTGTAGGACTGGCCTAGCCTCGGCTTCTTCATGCCATGAGGTGCCCAGACCTGGTGTCTGATGCCGTACCCTGGGCCCTGATGGAGGCCAAGCTGATGGCTGGCACAAGGGCCGCCCACACCACTCGTGGAGCAGGGCTGCTGGGTGGACTGTAGCGATGGTGCCTGCGGGAAGCAGGGCTCAGCCATCAGGAGTGTCAGGCGGGAGTCTGGCAGAGGGTCTGCCCCTGGGACTGAGCTGGATTCCCTTCTTGGGAAACAAGGCCTGGGAACCACCCAGGACGGGTGGAGAGAGGCAGTCCTGCTGGCTCTGGGTGTCCTGACCTCAGTAACTGGAGAACTAGGCGGGAGGTCAGCCCTGGACCAGGCCAGCCGGCAGAGAGGAGAGTCCCCCGTGTGCAGCGCTGGCCCGGCCCCCTGCACAGCCCGTACCTGCATGTGGTGGTACAGGTCCTCGGGGGCCTCGCCCATGGGCCCGTCGCCCAGCATCACCACGTTTCCCGCTTCACTAGACGCGTGTGAGGAGAGCGAGGAGGAGGAATGGCGACCCGTGCCCATCAGGTTCATGGGGCTGTGAGAAGAGCAGGACACAGGAAGCAGTCAGACCTGGAGCCGGGGAACCTTGCTGGGGGTGGGGGCTATGGGAAAGGGTGTGAAAACGTTCTCCCAGCCTCAGCCACACTGGATTGGGGGCCTGGAGCAGCCCTGAGCCTGCTGCGCTGAGGCCTGTCCTGGGCGGACTGATAGACCTCAGTGGCTCATGGCCACGCAGACTGCTGACAGCAGCAGGTTCTCAGGGGAATGACAGAGACCCACTGAGTCTGGCCCCAGGCCTGAGGTCCCCCGTGCTATGGAGGGTCATCTGAGCGGTGCCCACCCTCTGCTGGATCTGCTCCATGGTCAGGTGTCTTGCTGGCATGGGCAAGGCATCAAAATGCCGCTGGGAAGCATCTCTGGGCTTCCTTTCCTATCGGTGGCCGCAGCTTGCCAACAGCTGTCCCTCCCAATGCGAGGCGGCCCCTCACTCCGTCACTCCTTCTCACTGGCTGAGTGCACATCTGGGCTGCCTTGCTGCTCACACTCCCCTGGCCTGGCTCCTGAACTCAGAGCAGCCTCACCTCGACATCCCATCACTACCTGGTTCTCTTCCTAAAACCGAGTGGCGATCCTCATTCCCGCGGGATCAAGTCCAAAGGGATGACAGCACAAGGCCCTCCAGGGCACCTGGGCCCCCATGCCGGGCCCCCTGCACTGCAGCCACTTGGTTGGCTGTGCGGTGCTGACCCAGCCGGCTCGTTCACACCCGGTGAACGTGCGCATCGGTCACTTTGCCTGGGTCTTGCTCCATCAACTCCTCACCCGAACTCTTCTCTGCCGTCAAACTTCTATTTATCCTTCAAGGCTCACCCCCAATGACCCTCCTCTGGTTCCCACCCCACCACGGATCCTGTCACCCAGGACGACGATGCAGAGCGTGGTCCTTGTGGACGTGGGTCAGAGGGCATGCGAGTGAGCTCACAGGCACTATTTCGGACTTCCTTCTCTGACCTTAGATATGCAGACGACCTCTGTGGAGGGGCCACTCCCAGCCTGAAGGCCTACCTGTGCCGGTGGGTCATCTTGAGGCTCTCGGGGCTCACGGGGCTGTGGGATGCGAGGACACCGCCCCGGGGGGTGCTGCTGCCTGAGCATGCAGGACTTGGTTTGTCCAAACCCGGAAACTCCTGGTGAGAGAGGAATGGCCCTTCATTAGAGAGGAAACATCACGTATGTTATTAAGGCTGAGCGGGAAGAGCAGACGGTGGTAGAAACGTGAAAGGGAAAAAGAGCCCTGTCCTGGGAGCCGAGCCAGGACTGCGAGTGCTTGTGGGCAGCGACCCCTCCTCAGCACTGAGAGCACGTCTGGATGGGCGGGAGGGGCCCGAGTTCAGGGGAGGGTGTTGAGGCTCCCTCACTGCAGAGGAAGGAGCGCAGGCGCTGGGCGGGGGGGGGGGGGCGGAAAAAAGAAATGACGCTGTCAGCCCTGGCGCTTTTTGCCCATGAAAAGCTGGGGTTATAGGGTTGCTAAATGGAACGGTTGTCTGTGACCTGGACTGA